CAACAATTTTGGCGACAGTCGATCCACGTCGCATGGATTACGGCTAAACATTCCAAACAGGCCAACGAAAATTGCCAGTACGTCTGCTGTCAAAATGAGGCGATATTGATTAGCCACCCGTCTGATTTAAAACCCCCGGACTTCTTTTTGTGGGGCCTTCTAAAAAGTAAGGTTTACGCCAACAAGTCTCAGAGTATAGACCAGTTTAAGGCAAACAATCGTGCCGAAATCAACTCTATAACACCCGAGATGCTCGAAGAAGTAATGGCAAACGCAGAAAAAAGAGCGCAATTTGTTATTTTTAATAAATGCGTCCACCTAATTGATATTGATATATATTTTATTCTGATGTATCAATAAGCAAATCAGCCTGCGACATCTGTTAAATTGTAACGAATGGAGCCTGACTATGGTTGTCATGCCGGATTAGATTAGAAATATCTAGTCTTGGCTGGGAGTTGTTTGGAGCAACACGTTAAATCACCAATTCAATAAAGTTTCTCTGTATGCGGAATCTCGAGCGGAGGCCTCCCAGTAGCAGGAACGTCTCCAGTAAATCTCAGATCAGCTCCAATCCAATCTGCAGGCATAACTATCTTCGTCGAGTAGCCTCCACATCAGCGAACAAATGGCCAGCAACGAGTAGCAGCTGACCATTAAGACCTATGCCTGCGGCCAGAAGATGCAGCAGAAGGAGCGCGAGATGCAGGATCTCCGGCAATGGCTGCACGCCAGTCAAGAAGCTCTAGCCAAGCTGAAAGGCGAATCGCAGCAAGGAGCGTTAAATCAGTCAGTCAAGCATCTAAAGGAGAATCTGTCCAAGATCCAGTCCGACCAATAGCAATTGAGCAGCGGCACCATCAGGAGACCATCAGGGAGCTGAAGGAGCGTCTAGAAATTACCAACACGGACCTCCAGCACAACGAGAAAATGGCCCTTAAAGATGCACAAAAGATCAGCGACCTAAAGACCCAGGTGGAGGCCATTCCGGTGGCCAATGCCAATGCCCATCTTCAAGCGGTTCGAAATGAAGGCGGACACTGAAGGATTTCACAATGTTAATTTGGTGCTGTTTTATAATCCACAAAGCAAGAAAGGATTATCCCCGAAGCTATAGAAAAATTGGGAGGGCCCTTATACAATCATAGAACGAATTAATGATGACACAACTGAAGAGCGAAACTAAAAGTGATACATCTCGAGAGACTGGCACCTTACCATGGAGGAGACTTGGAACTTGTTCGGGACGAAAAAGAACTGAAAAACATTTCAGACTAAAACTAAAAGCATTATGTTACAGCTCATAGTCCAAATCGCGCCGCTAGTTGGCTTTATTAGTCTTAATTTTTCTCGAAAATCGTTTTCTGTATCGGTGATTGGTCTATTCAATCTATTAAACCGATTTCTTTCAAATTGTAAATACTGTTATACACATTAATCGTCCCTAGCAGAATCAATTACTTTTAATAATATTATCTTATTTAAAAAAAAACAATTTCCAAGCAAAAATAATGAGAATGTTGAACAATTTCTTCAAAAGTCCACCATTTTGTTATACCCGGTACTCGAAGAGTATTGGGATACATTAGATTTGTGGTGAAATTGGATGTGTGTAACACCGAGAAGGAAGCGTTTTGGATCCCATAAAGTATATATCTTCTTGATCAGTATCAATAGCCAAATCGATGTAGCCATGTCTGTCTGTCCGTCCCGATGAGCGCCTAGATCTCAGAGACTGTAAGAGATAGAAAAGTACAGTTTTTTTTGTCCCGACTCCTATGATATCGCACTGTTAAAAGTGTATTTCTAAATTGTCAACTGCTCCCCCGAAGGACGAAAATCTGTGGCATTTCTTAAGATATGCGAAACCGCAGAATCGTAGAGAATACCCATATTTACTAGAATGCAAAATCTCAGTCAAATCGAATCGTTATTACAGCCAGAATGAACAAATGAAATTGCAGTGACTTCGAGGGCGTAGCCACACGCTTAGAGGCTATTCACACTGACGACCATCCACCATCCAGTTGGGGGATGGTGCGTAATAGGCTAATCACACTGACGGCCATCCACAATCCGTAAGGTTTTTCCATTCCGTAAACTTCCCATTTATTCTACCATCCATCTGGGATGTTCCTAAACCACACGATTCTATGCGATATTCAGCAGTTCGAATTTTAAAGCGTTGAGTCCTAAAAACAGAAAAAAATACAACAGACACAATTCAAAATGGAGATACCCGAAATTAGTGGTAATAAGTAAGCATACATACATATGTATTTGCTTTATTTTTGTATTATTAGTATTTTGCACCCATTAAATAAACAAACAATACACCCAAGTTGAAATGGCCTGCATATATTGAAAATCTCTCTATAAAAATTTGGCATGATTGATTTGCGATCAAACTGCGGCTCTAGTATTATTTCTGCAAATAAGGTGCCACACCAAAGTGGATTAAGCTGTGAAATCTTCTGGAGATTGCTTGATTTCCAGTAGGAGCAGCAGAAATTACAGGATGAGCACCAGGAAACAAAGCGAGGGGTAATTTAGCAGATAGTAGATCGTGGATGGTGCGAGTGTAAATCGGGGTTACACACCCGTCAAAAATCCCACAGTTTCTTCGGGGATGTGGTCTGTGTGCAGAGCATACAATACAACCTATCGATAGTTAAGTTATTGTGGGGGGATGTGAATTTACAGATGTGAAACCTTGATTCCCACCATCCATCATCTAGCACCCATCAAACAGCTGATGACAACAACAAAAACAAAGTATTTATCTTAATTGTGACAATTCACAAGTTTAAATGAATAAATTGGCGATTATAATAAACCCAAACATAAAAGTACTCTAAAACGTTAGTCTTTGGGCTTCCTAAAGAATAGCAGCAGCTCTGTTTGGAAGTTAGTTTGGACTTGGCAGCTCGCAAATTACTGGAGTATCTGTCGCTTGGTTTTCTGGTGTTCCTCCTGTAATTTCTGCTGTTCCTTCTGAACTTCTAGCATTACACAATCAATCTCGAGAACGTTGTCCAGTCGTGTTGCTTTAGTGGGGCGTCTTGGCCGCCAAAAAAATTCTGTGGCCTCATGAGATCTGTCCTGACCGACATTAACTGAATTATTTCAGGCTCCCTGCAAATCCCCAATGTTATCATGCCAAAAGTTTATAACAAAATTTTAATTTTAAAATTTTAATATTGTGCTGTTGTATTTTACACAATAAATTAAATATGCACAACAGCGCGATTAATGAAAATTGGGAGCTCGCAACAAATGAGCAGCGTGAACAGCTCGATAGTAGCACGAGTTCTGCTGAATTTAATTAGTCAGCAGAACAGATACGATCTGCACACGCAAAATATTGTGTAGACCGTAATAAAAAATTAATAACTTATTTATTTTTATTTTTTTAAACTTCTAACAAGTCGTTCTGGAATTTCGTTTGGGTGCTGATTAAGTCCTGCATCATCTTCTCTTGCCTCATGTCCTTTATGGGTTTCTTTGGCTGATATTTTATTGTGTATTGTAGGGTATTTGTTTCTTTTGAAACTTGAGAGGTCGTATATCTCTTTGTTTGCTTACATATGATGGGCAAGGGGAACTACCCAGCCCTGGTATCGCCAGTAATCCAGCGTTGCCCACCGGGAAACAAGCCAAAATATAACATTTTAAACAAAATCAGCATATAAAGCATATACAAATGAATAGTTCTTCCGATATTGTGGGGCAATCTGCTTCAAAAAAAAGCAGAAGCAATAACGAAATTTTCCGCAAATCCTAAAGTTTGCACGCAGAATGTGAGAATGCGTGTGCACCCATACATTAGGTTACCTTAGGTTATGGCGTTAGCCGGGGAGGGGCGATAAATCGCTCTATTGGACCTTTTATAGTTCCATTGTGTTGTCGCATGGTCTTGTGCCTCTTTTCACTACCTAGACCGTAAGAGCAAACTGTTGTAGACTAAGGGCCCATCCGGAGGCTAGGATAATTTTGTTTACAAAGTCCCTGGTTTGATTTTGGAAAGGTCCGAAATGATTATGAGGAAAGGGACCCAGAGAGGACGAAGGCGACGAGTTGCATGGGCCGGGCAATAGCAGAAGAAGTTAGGGACTGATTCCGCTTCTTCCTCGTCATTACATAACTGGCAAATCTATTTAAGGAATAGTTATTGGTTCTATACCATTCATCTATAGAAAAAATATTGCTTTTATGTGATGATTTTACTTGCGTTTTCGCGCCAAACGCCACCAACGATGCGCCATTTTCACCGTTGGTTTTACCAGCTAATCAAATATGCACAACTATACGAAACAACTGTACATCTCGTTATTACGTCCTATATTGGAGTATTGTTCTTGTGTGTGGAGATATTTATATGTGCCAGTTCATATGATGAATATGTCGCACATCAAACACAGAAAACTGAATCCCAGGGTCTTCGGCTCTGGCGTTCTGGAACCGGCGCGTCATCAAGAACCAGCCAGCAGAGCAACGCATTGAATGTGTTACACGCACAATATGTTTTCACAAAAAAGCTGAAGACAACATGGTTAGTGGTTTCATCAATATCAGGAGTACCATACATGTTTTCATTTATAGATATCAGACTAGTCGACAGTAAAGATTATCGATGTTCATCCACCTCTATTTTTCGTATTCTACTACAATTCGATACCGGTATACTACGAAACACAAACACATAGATACATTTAGTGGTTTGATGTTTCATCAACACGCACAGCTGATTCATTTCGTTTCTTTGATGCTGCGATGCCAGATCGATTAAAAATATAAACTAAAGCATATACCTACAGTGCATGGTTTTCCTTAAGGTCATTATATATGGTGTCGCAAATTTTAATTGAATTGTAGTGGAATACGAACTTTAGCACTTGACATAGGTAAGTTACACATCGAGGAAAAAAAAAAACATCGCTATTCGATGTCATAACATAACCTCGATCAGCAGCATTCATTAATTAAAAAAATTTTAAAAGAAAACTCGGTGCCTGCAAGCATGTTAAAGTTAACTCGTGTAAATCAGTTGCGTGCATCGTACATTCGATTTGTGGCCCAGGCAACGTCTGCTACAAGTAATGAATACTCATGCCAACCGGAGTATCCACCAATTCGGGACCTGACACACAAGGCGCTAAAGCGCAGAGAAGCTAATGATTGGCATGAAGAAATTCGTAAAGTGCCGACAGTAGAAGAAAAAATTATCAAAGTAAATATGCCTCGTTATTATGGATACAAAGTTGTCGACTTCAACGACAACAAAATTCCATACAACGCATTACCGGTCACGCAACATTACACGCGCACAGTACTAAAAGAGTTGCCGCTATTATCTGCTGATGAAACCGAGACGTCGGAATTTAGCTCAGTTGCTTTTCTAAAGACGGCCCGCGATGATATTATTGACGCTCTGGAACTGGCACATGACTTCTACAAGTAAGTTTAATATATTAAATTGTTCTAAACTAATATGAGCTCCCAAAAATTCAATGTAGCCACCAAGCGACGCTGCCCGACGTTGCGCCTTCTGATTCTGTTAACCGCGAACGACAGCTGACTCAAATTATTGTAGAGCAGCTAAACAGAGCTTTACTGCAGATACTCAGCGCAGACTATCCGCATCTAAATGATGTCGAGGTGGACTACAATCCACGCCACGAGGCCTTTTGGGCAGTTGGCGGCGTGGATCCTCCAAAAAATGTGGTAAAGTCAAAAAAAGGTCGGGACTGGCAAAAAGATGATGCTAGTGAAAGCGTCGACCGATTAGTCCAATACACTGGGGCTCCTTACTTGTCGCTCCGTCATCGTCAGCAGCTGTGTCCGTGGATGACAGACGGGGAAAGTAAAATTATGGACCCACACGCCCGACACCTACCACGCTTCAACCATGATGCCCGAACTTTGGGCTACAGAACCTCGTACCAGCATGCAGTCAATGTCCCCGGCTATTGGCCCAGTGCTAACGGGGCAAATTTTGGATTACTCTCTTTTCAATCGAGAGCATCCCTCCAGATGCGTCATAAGGCATATGGGGATCGCGACCTACAAGAAGCACTTCATGCACTGGCTATTAAATCTTCATACGCATGGCTATTAGCGCAAGCTAATTACAACGGCTTCAATACCTATAACGACCTCACTTACCCTATGAACACCCAAACTGTGATCACAAATGGTCGAGAATGGAGTTTCTACGAGTACCAGTTAAACACGCTGCTTCTGCACAGCAACCAAGTGAACGAAAATCCCCGAGTGAACTTCTGTCGAGGTACACCGCCTCTTCCTCTTTACGCTGAGATATCAGAAAAAGGAAAGTGTGTGGACTTTAATGATGCTACACTGAAGCAGCTGCTCAGAGTGTATATGAACGTCCCCAAGGTCGAGCGTATAGGCAACGAGCTCCACCCGTATGTGACTGCTCGCACCTCTGACTATGAAAATAAACATCAGCGCGATTTTATTGATAAAACTTTCAAATACTTGTGTTCAAAGCGACCCCGTCACCTTGAGCTGCCCGAGATCTACTTGTGGGAAAAGTTATACAAGATCGACCATAAGACTCGAGCCATGGAGGCGAAACGACGATTCTTTGAGCTGGAATTAAACCCTTGGCGTCGAACGCTTGAAAAACACGACAAAGAATACTTGCCGAGGGCGGTGCGACCGGGTGGCCGTAAGAATCGTGAAGACCGCTTTAAGAAAACATTCTACCCCTAAGTGGTACTAGAAAATTGTTTACCTCTTTTAATAAAAAATAAAATGGTTCTTGTTACACCAGCCACGGAAATAGTCGCATTTAATAATTATGCCAAACATTGTTGATTAGCCAAGTCAAACATTCCGTCTCAATCTAACTGAATGTACGCTTACTACGTTTTAAGGATATATCTACGGCCCACGAGCGCAATCAGATTAATAGTACAATGGGAGTAAAAGAAGCAACAGAGGAAGACATCTTAACGCTAAAAATATTTCTGATTCTCAACAGTAGTGGTATGGCTTTTCCTAACAGTAGTATTTGTAAGAAAAATTCTGGTACACATTAAAGATTAATAAACGTAGGATATTTTAAATAGATGTACGGTGAGGCTTGTAGCTGCTGTGAGGAGGCCTAGGAATTTTGGGGTCCGCCGAAAATTAGGCACCGTCTAACTAGCGCCAAGAGAAAATTCTCTTTAATAGTTGGCAAAGAGGGCCAGGATCGGAGAGCGGGTTCGAAGTAGAAGTTCGACAAGAAAAGTTTTAAATATATGTCATTGCATCATTCCAAGCTTGGTCGATAGCGTTAAGTGGTGTTCACCAAGTAGCCTCTGAAGTGGCAGCCTGATTATAATATTTAAAAAGAAAGAGAAACCCATTAAAACCAATTACAACAAGTGAAATATATACCAGTCAGTGAGGCGCTAGTTCGTGATATACACACTTTCGACGGGGCACCCGTTTGGGTAAGTTGTTCCATGTGTGTGCAATTTGCCATAGGTTGGAAATTGGAGGAGGCTCGTCCTCCGAGACAACCAGCTGGAGTTTAAAGAAATTCGCCGGTGCTTTGGGTCGTCGCTTTGGAGCACTTTGGCGAAGAAGAAAGGAGAGGCCAAAGAAAGAGGAAAAAAGTGTTCTGCAGATAGCGGAAATTATTGGCAGATCAAAAGAGAAATTTGTCACAGGAATCCAGTCTATTCCAAAAGAAACAAAAAAAAAGGAAAAAAATAACATAACACAGTCATATGCTCTAAACATTTTCACCCGGGTCTTTTTTTGTACCCCTTCAGTTAGGCTTCTTTCTCTCGCTATCTCTTTCCTTCTTTCGCCACCTAACTTTGCCTCTGAGGGCGAGCCCCTGCATACCGGTGCTCGATAAGTACCGGTGATCCGGGAAGAGGAATGCAAAACTGAGCGCAGAGGAATGTCAAGGGGCATGAGCGACGTGGATAGAAGAGAAAGAAAACTACAGCTAATCTTAGCTCGACCTGCCTGAGCCGCTTGGTTATCGTTTCATTTTTGTTGTGTGTGCTTAATGCGAATTGTGTGTGTTCTTTTTATACCCGATACTCAAAATGAGTATTGGGGTATATTAGATTTGTGGTAAAAGTGGATGTGTGTAACGTCCAGAAGGAATCGTTTCCGACCCCATAAAGTATATATATTCTTGATTAGCATCAATAGCCGAGTCGATTGAGCTAAGTCTGTCTGTCCGCCCGTCCGTTTGTCCGTCTGTCCGTCCCCTTCAGCGCCTAGTGCTCAAAGACTATAAGAGCTAGAGCAACGATGTTTTGGATCCAGACTTCTGTGATATGTCACTGCTACAAGAATATTTCAAAACTTCGCCTCACCCCCTTCCGCCCCCACAAAGGACGAAAATCCGTTGCATCCACAATATTGCAGATTCGAGAAAACTAAAAACGCAGAATCAGAGATAATGACCATATCTATCAGATTGTTGAATCTGGATAAGATCAGATCACTTTTTAGCCAAAAGGAACAAATCAATTTGCAGTGGCTTCGCAGCGCCCGACGTCACGCTCAGACTGATTTTCTGTCTCTCTCGCACACACTCTTTGTCGTGTCGTTTAACATTAGCGGCGTCTGCCGGAGGAGGGCCATACTGACCAAGTATCGGGTATTAATGTAGAGTTGCGGTCTCCGCATCGTCGGGCGCTGCGTAGCCACTGAAAATACATTTGTTCCTTTTGGTTACAAAAATGATCCGATCTAATCCAGATTCAGCAATCTGATAGATGTGGGTATTATCTATGATTCTGCGTTTTTAGTTTTCTCGAATCTGCAATATTGTGGATGCAACGGATTTTCGTCCTTTGTGGGGGCGGAAGGGGGTGAGGCGAAGTTTTGAAATATTCTTGTAGCAGTGACATATCACAGAAGTCTGGATCCAAAACATCGTTGCTCTATCTCTAAATAGTCTTTGAGCACTAGGCACTAATAGGGACGGACAGACAGACACGGCTCAATCGACTCGGCTATTGATGCTGATCAAAAATATATGTACTTTATGTGGTCGGAGACGATTCCTTCTGAACGTTACACACATCCACTTTTACCACAAATCTAATATACCCCAATACTCATTTTGAGTATCGGGTATAAAAACGAACATAGGTACGTGCTTTGAAGTTATAATTAATTAACAATATAATAATAATAATTATAATGATAACTTTTGATGCCACTTGAGGAGACAAAGGGAGGCAATGGCTTTCAGCTTTCAGCAATCAGATAAGCCGACAATGTACGCACCTGCAAGCTGATTCTGCCTGAAAAAAGCTCTCAGATAAAGTGAGCTTTCAGCTCCAATTTCAGCGCCATTTTCAGCTCCGCTTTCAGCTACAGTGTGCGCGAGCCGTTATTGTTCAGAAGAGCTTTTATTTCCGCTTGCACTTCAGCGGGCGAAACTGGCTTGGTTGGTATCGACATATGTAGGGGCGCTTCTAATTACCGGGAGACTGCTCGCGTGTAATCTTGAGGTGCTACACCGGCTGGAGTGAATCTGGTCTCTAGATTTCTAGCGAACGCTTCTGCTTTTTCCAAGTCAGATTTAACCCAGGTATCGTTGTCGTTTGTTATAGGAAAGCTGCACAGTGGCTGCCTCTTAATGCCACGGTTTCCAGAGATTGACCTGGCCACTTTCGGCTCTATTCAGCATTTCGTCGAAGTGTTTGCTGTTTTTCTCAGCGAGGGCCTTTTTAAGTTTCTGCTTGATCTGTGCGTCTGAGCTTTCCTTAAGGTTTTCGATGTGAGGGTCAGGTGATCCAGCAGGTCGGGTCGAGCGCACCTCGGAAGTGGGTGGTTCTGCAGAGAGAGCTGCTTCTTGGATGAGGCTATTAAGCGAGCGTACAACCGCGTCGATGTCTTCTGGAGACTCGAATCTCTCATTCAGTCGAATGTGCTCGTCCAAATGAGTTTAAAAAATCTCAATGTTTGCTCGTCTGTGCAGGAGCTTCTGTTTAGTAGGGTAGTCGACAGGGGATGAGTGTATTTCAATGAGAAGCGGTAAGTGATCGGAAGGAAGGTCGAAGTTCGCTTGTATGTGCAGGAATCTATGGGGAACGGCTTTGTAGAAAGCGAAATCCAGGGCACTAGGCGATCTGTTGGAGTCGTATGGGTAGTGGGTTGCAGAGCCAGTGGCAAGAATGTTGGCTCCACTTGAGACTATATAGTCGTGGATTTCGCGACCTCTAGGGCAGGAGCGAGGGTTTCCCCACCATTGGTGCTTCGCATTCCAATCCCCATCTGCAATGTATTTTGGCCCAAAACTAGATAATAAAGAGCGGAAATGAGAGCTTGTCCATAAGGTAGCAGGAGGACAGTATATAGCCGAGATAGTTATTTCTCCTAGAGAGGTACTTAGCACCATGTTAGCGGCTAGAATTTGGCCATCTGTAATGGGGTTGATTGGGAAGTGCTTGAGGCTGCTGCGGATGAGAATAGCAGATCCTTCTCTATAGCTATCGGAGGGATGATTTGTAGATATGTAGAGTTCATATCCTATTACTTTTAATGTTGTTCTGCTGCAGAAGTGCGTTTCCGAGAGAAGCATTATGTCGATTTGATTCGTTTTAATGAAGTTTTTAAGTTCTAGGCTTTTGTTGGCTATGCCCGACGCATTCCAAATACCTATACGGTAAGGCATTTTGAGAGGCTAGTGGCTGAGAGAATGTTTTGCATTAGCATGAATTGGTCTAACTTATCTGCAAGATTCATTTAGCTTGTTCTCAAGAGTCGTGTTGTGAGGTTATTCTGGTTGGGTACGAGTTTGGGATGGGTTCCGGTTTCGTGGTTCCCTTGCTATACTCCTTGATAGGCGTTTGGCTTCTCTAGCGACCTCAGCATAAGATATATGCTTTTCCTGATTTTTTGGCTGGGAAATCAACATATCGTTGCGTGGCATATCCGTCTGTCTGCTGTTTCCAGAGAGCGAGCGAGTGTTTGTTTGGTGCGCCCGGACGTATTCTTTCCTCCAGGATGCACCTGATGAATGTTTCCCAATTTTGACTGTGGTGTTTGTGAGTACAATATCAATAGAAGCTGTTGGTAGACCTACGGCCGCCGTAATTGGCAGTGTAGGAGCCAAGACAGTTGACACACTTGGGCTCGACGTCTTGTGGCTTTGAGCATTCTTTGGTGGCATGCGGACACCAACATTAAACATAAAAAAATTGTTTGTTGCAATATCTTTTAGTGTGTTCGAATTCTTGATAGAGGTGACACTGTGATATCTCTTAATGAAGTTGTGGCTGCTCAACAAATATGTTTTGCCTGTAGATGTTTGATAGTTTGAAGATCTCTTTGTTGTTTTCATTTGGCTCTAAGTCTACGAAAAATAAGCTAAGCTGTTTCTTGGTCGCCCTGTTAAGTGGATTGTGAATGAATCGGGCGACATGCCCTTTGGCCATGAGTTCTTACTGAATATAATCAATTGGATTGGAGTGGTGAAAATTTTTAATTACTACTTTATATGACCGTTCTTCTTTCAACTGGTAGCTATGACAGAGAACGCCTTTAACCATCAGTGCGGACGCAATTTTGTGGTAAGTGTTTGAGTCGTTGCATAGGAGTCTAATTTGTCCTACAGTAGTTTTTTTTAAATCGGTATTTTTCGGGGCTTGCCAACGTATCCAAAACATTGACCAAAACCAAAGACTATACAATACCAAGATGTTGCATGAGCGACCAAAAAGCTGTTCTATGGCGGGTCCTAACATTAGAACCCAAAAGGCACGAGGGAGCGCGCGGGGTTTCAATTCCCTTTTCGCCTGTACTTCGTCTCTACCG